GCCTCTCGCGTTCTCTTCTCTTCCCGCTGTCCTACCTTTCGTGTCTCCCTCCTCTCAAGTTTGTTAATGTTTCCCGGTGGGTCAATCCCCCCGGGCCCTGGGAAGATGTGTTCGTTGCTTAGCGCCCCGAGATCTCGCCTGGGTCGACGGGTCAAGTCGACTGTTGGGTATTTGTCACTGGGAGGTCCCAAGGTCTTCCTAGTGTAATACACAAAACATATTGTTGTTTTTAGTTGTTTCACTGTTTGTACATATTTTATGTTGTTTTATATATAGATATATACCACTATATGTGTTTTCTCTATTTTAATACACATCCATGGCCTATGGCCAGAAACAAAAACCACCAGTGTCATGTCATCCCCTGTCCGGTCGCGTTTTGGGAGTTGTAGTGATGTGCCAGGCAGGTCCGAGATTGGTCAGTGACATCTGAAGGCTGAGTTGGAGTGTGAGACCTACCAGGCCCCTCCCCGATAATAGCTCCCAAAAAGAGAAGATTTGGGGTGTCCATGAACCACCCCGAGTTTGGGGGACTGAAGAGGCCGGCTGTGCACTCCAAAAGATTTGGATTTGAAGTGCATGTTTGCAGGGATTTTGTCTGGCTTGAGCTGCATTCCCAGAGTGTTTGCCATTGGCTTGCTTTCCAAGTCGCAATGATTACCGCTCACATCAGTTGTTTTGAGAGGCAGCAGGAGGAAATCATGTTCTAATCTATATCACTAAACCTGGTCCTTCATTGAGTCGTGTGTTTGCATGATCAACTCCAGTAAAATGAGGTCCTTGAGCTGTAGGGTACTGTTTATTAGAGGATACCCCCGGTCGTGAACCACCCAAAAAGCCTGTAGATAGTGGCACAACGGCCCCTCTATGATTCCCGGCCCTCGGGCAGAGATCAAGATGCTAGCTTGCTAAGGTGGGTGTGATCCCGTTTTTCGGCTACCTGGGCACTTCAATGCCTTTGCACGAGAAGACCACCACGGTTTCTTCGACATACTAGAAGCAAGAAGCTACTCGGGTGGAGGCCATCGCTACTAGTGTGGAGGCCACCCCTACTAGTAACAATTTGCAGCTTTCTAGTAACTTCACTGTCAGTTTTGCATGGAACGTCACACGCGATTCATGCGTGAAGAAACATGAGTGGGAACACGAGGAAAATGGTCGGGCCATGGGCTCGAAGTGGGGGTCGTACCGTTAGGGATCCAACTCAAACACCGGTCTTTATGTGTTAACGTGCAAAAAGTGAATGGTTCTTCTGAATATCCAATTGCATTTCTTGGTGATTCTTGTCTAGAAAGAAGAACCTTTGGTGCAGCCGGGAAGTTTCTCTGCTGGGTTGGAGTTTTTCTACTGTGGTGGGTGCAACGTATTAGTTTTGGTCGTGGTCGCTTGTCCACATCAGCATATTTCGGACGTGTGCGTTCGTCCCTCAAACGGTTCTTTGCTTTGTAAACATGATGCCTTTGACACTCTAGCAAGTCAACTTGAGGCCTCTTAGGTTGAGTTGTTTCACCACTTGAACAAGAGACCCTATTTTGGATAGACGTGACATGTTCAATCATTTATCCTCAGTCTTGTCCTCATTTGTTGAAGTACTTTCCACCATTTGAGGAAAAACTCTAGTGATGCTCTGCGCGAAGAAAATAAGCAACACATTTGACCAAGGTGGTCTTCCCCCCGTTCGAAGCCTCCAGCTACACCTTGGATCAGCTCGACGAGGCAGGTTTTTGAACCAAACCTGTGTTTGAAGGGGATTTTGGTGTTTTGAGGCAACAGTTGTCTTTACCAAGGTCATCCAACTATGCAACATGTTTGTAACTTTGTTGGCTTTATGGATGAACAGATCGTCATGTTGCACAGTTGGTTCAGTTCGAGGTCTATAGTTCTTTTATAGTTCTTTTTGGTGAACAAACACTTCTCATTCCGTTTCACTGCACCGGACCTCCGTTTCTCCTCCGGCCTAAGAGGGGCCGACCGGACCTCGTTCAGGTCACCCGGGCTGATCCGTCTGAGGCGACGTCCTCCACGGTGTGTTTTCGGAGACGAGGTCGAGGGCACATGTCAATCACTGGCCTTGGCCACTGGGGGTCAGGATGTGGAGGTGGTTCTTTTTGGAAGGAGTTTATAGAAAATAACACACCCATTTTGATTGGTCCATTTTTTGCAGCAGGTCATTTGCCAAGCCTCACCCTTGCAGGCACATGAGGCCTATCTGGCGCATTTGAAGAAGCATTTTGACCTGAACAAGGACAAGTACGGTATGAAAGATGTGGAACTCGTGTGAACCTCAGCATGGCCACGTATCCAACAGATGCCAGAAACCTGGGCGTTCCAGGTTTCGCGGAACTTTGCTGGATGCGTCCAACCCAGACGCATCATATTTTTGAAGACATAATTACCTAGAGCCCTGTTTGACCTCTGCTTCGGTAGGGAAAAAGGCCTTTAACATCCTTTAACTATGGGTGGTGGGTGGTTCATTTCAGGTCACTCAGGCACCCAGGTATGCCCTTAGTGCTGGGATGTTCTACTCACCAAGCTCCTCAGTTTCAGGGCTTCGTCAACGCCTCGGTCTCTGGCTCTCCTGGTCCCCGGTGATGTTGTATGTTCCCGGTGTCTAGGTCTCCCGGTCTCCCCCAAGCCTCGGGGAATCAATATGTGGTTCTTTCCCGGCAAACCTCGTCCGGAGCCCAGCACAGGTGGCGTGACTCTGAGCAGGTAAAGTGGGAAATGGGAAGCGGGACCACGGCAAACCAGAACAACGTGCCACAAAAACCTTTTTTGAGCCGCCAGAGTCCCAGTGGAGACCTCTAACCCGCCGACTGGTTCTCGCATGGTTCTCATGGTTCCAGGGCCGAGCGAGTATGCCGGTTCCTCACCTTCCCGTGGCTTCACTGGGACGAAGCTGAGTTCCCTATCTCAAGAGTCGATGCACTGGGACTACCTCAAGGAGTTGAAGAGTGAACCTTTCCTTCAAGCAAGGGCTGTAGTCCAACAGAGCTGTTTGAAGCCAAGCTGTGTTCCAAGCAGCTGCGAACGAAGCAAACTTGGTGTAGTCCAGCAAAGCTGCCTTGAGGTCTTCGTGGGCAACGATTTCCAAGATGATGACTGGGCCACCCGCGCCCTCCAAAGTGTCGGCGTTCTGCGTCCCCCTCGCTCGCGCTTGTGAGAGGCCAGGGAGGACTGGAGTGGAGGACGGCAATAGGAAAGGAGAGGAACCCGAAAACTGAAAGGTGTTCGATGACAACCGAAAATAACTAGCCTACCAGCCTAGCATACAATTTAGGTTTTGCCAGGAGAATCTGGGCATGAACGGCACCTTTTGTTGGCCTGACGGCTCTATATATTCGCGCTTGATCTCATGGATGTCATGGAATATCGTTGAAGATTTCTCCCTGCACCACTTCGTGCAACACAGTGTAAACAGTTGCGTATATTTGGCTGTGTGTCAAAACAAGGGGACTCTGGTTGATCACCCAAATGAACAGAATGGACGACCTACAGGAGGCCAACCTATCAGGGATTAGGGCTTCGGGTTTTGACCACAGCCATATCGTAACTGTTTCGGCGGTGGTGCAGGTAGAAGCGTTTTTATTCAGGCTCAGACCTTATGGGTCCACATACGCTCTCAGAGGGTGATTGGAGACATGGAAACGCCAGGGTCCAACCACCTTCCAAAAGGGGGACCTCATATATAAAAGTGGCTTCGTTTTTACCATGAGGTCAACCCCAAAGCCTCTCCATGAGGTCAACCACCATGGTGTGAAGCTCACTCGCCTCATCCTGTTGATCCTTGACTTCTCACCACCACCGGCTGCGTTCCAGGCCTTACGAACACGCGCGGTGGAAGGCCTGGCGTCCCGGCCAGCTTGAGTCAGACTACGTGGATCGTGTAGGACTGGGGAGGGAGACTATAGTAGGACAGCATAGGACTATCATAGGACCATCCATGTACAAGCGTACAGTTTTTGCCGCCTGCTTTTGACAGAAGTCAGACAAGAGGGAAGAAATCAGAGAACATCCGCAGTGTGATACATGGAGCCTCCCAGCAGTGCTTGATGTATGGAACATGATGAGAACCTGACCACGTCAAGAGTGGCGATTTGATTTACATGACGCAGATTCTGACCACTTCCAGATCCCAAACAGATCTCAAAGACCATCTGAAACCGCGCGATTCAGATCTAGTCCTAGGCCTTTTCTCACACCCCTGTCGACCTCGGGAGCAAAGTCTCCCCAAACAGATGATCCAGTCCTTTGAGGGATGGACCAAGGGTTCTTTCTGGGAAGTGGAAATGATTGGTTCTGTGAAGTGCCAAGAAGGAGCCATGGGAAGTGCCATGGGTCAAAGATTGTTACACTCATCGAGTCTAGTGAAGCGAGTCTAGGGCCCATTCTTCCTGAAACGCCCTTTCTTCATGGCTGTGGGCTGTGGGTTGCCTGACGCGGAGCCCCGCACGTTTTTGGGCGCCTAGACAGATCTACAACCGTTTTGCTCCGTGCGGTTTGACGAAGAGAATGCCGCATGAGATGTTGCAACGATACAACATGGTAAAACCTACAGGTTTTGGCCATGGCCAATGGCAAACCAATAAAATGCACTAACTAAATAGGCGCGTTGTTTTGGACTCGCCGGGGTTGTATTTCACTGTGAAGTCGCGTCGGGGTCACGCAGCTGTGGGAAAAGGGGCTCCATCGGTGTTGACCCACACCCAGTGCCTTTGGAGTACCTTAACATAGGGCTCAGCCTGTCCCGGAGAAAGAGGAGCGTCTCGGACTTCCAACGTTTTGCAGCCGCTTTTTCGGCCGAAGCATCCGAAGGATCGATCAGGTGTGTTTGGCATTGTTTGGCTTTAAGGTAGTTTGTTGTTCTTCCTGTGGGTGAACCCCCTTCTGGGGAAGATGTTCTGCTTTGTAACCAGCTCCTTCAAATCCTTCGTCACCGTTTCATCGCTGCACACCGTTTCGAACACCCGCGAGGCGAGGCCAAGACCCGCGAGGCCCGCAGAACCACGTTGGCTCAATCAGCGCGAGACACGACCACCTCACCATGTTCCGCGGCCTCTCTCGCGCGCGGCCTCTCTCGCGCTTGGAACATCGAGCCAGCTCGACACAGCCAGTGACACTGCGTGGCTTGGTTCGTGGAGCCAAACATCCTGCGTGGAATATAGGTGTGGTATGTGGGAGGAGTACAGGTGTTGCAAGAAGTGGAAGGAATCCCCAGCTGTGTTTTAGACATGTGACACGCCCTGTGACACGTTTCAACCAAAAACCATGGTCCTTCGCTGAGTTTCGAATGCTTGGATCACTGAGTTCACCTCACCTCTCGACTCATGTCACGGCCTGGTCACCATGCTTCACCATGCTTCACCCAGACATGACGTACATGGAATTGCTGCGACTGGACCCGACCCCGAACGCGCCGCGACGGGCGAGTCTCCTAGATCTCCTACACCTCAGACGTTCGCTCGCTACGAATGTCAAGGGTTTGTTCAACCCCACACCATTCTATGGAATAGTTCTACATTTACCCCATTGATGGGCCCATCCCAGTCCTATGGATGGGTTGATCAACTCATCCACCCCTCCGATGGATCCTGCCCGGCCCAGGTTGGTCGGACGGACGCTCTGCCGGCGCCTTTCTTCCCAAGTTCCTGCGTGAGAACACCTTGGAGCCGTGTTTTGGAGTGTGTGTGTGTGTTTTTTGGGGGGTTGTTGGTTCGTGAGTCTTGTGGCTCTCAAAAACGTTTTTTCCATATCAGGGCTTGAGTGTTTCAACAGATGGCATATGGATTTCGGCAGTGTTCAGATCATTGACAATTATAGTGTCTCAAGGATGGATGTTGATGTTTATGGGCTCTCACGAGCTTTCCGCGTCAGGGATGAGTGGTTTTTCTCGTAGTGTCCCTTAGTCTCAGATGAGATTGAGGCCATAATGATCCCCAACTTGGTGAATCGTTGTTTTATGTTTTCGCGGTTTCCTTATGCAAAGACCCCACTGACCCCACAGACCTGGCAACTACATCGGTTACATCGGCGTCTCCCATTTCCGCCGAGGAGGCGTGGGACAGCAGCTCGAAGCAACGCCTGCATTTCGGCATCCCTTTGGACTTGGAGGTCACGGATGCCATCCCAGTGGAGTGCACGTCCCCTCCTTATTCGGAAGCGAGCGAGCGTGATGAGCATGGTGAGGAGATGTCAACAGTCTGTGGACCGTAGGATACCGCAGGACTAGGATGGAGATACATGGTACGTTGGACCATGTTAGGAGCCTCCCCCAGTCCTTCTCATCCCCCAGTCGCACTTTCTCAGTGTGGATCGCTCCATTTCAAACAGCCAAAGCAAAGCGTCGGACCGTCCAAAGTCCCGAGGTCGCCGGGCTTTCTGAACTTCAAGGGACCTGCATTCAAGGTGGGAGGCCTATGGTATCCTTCAACAAAGGGCAATTTGAGTATCCCTAGCCTTCCGCCCGACCTCAAAAAGAGTAAGGACTTGACCTGGTTTTGTTGTGTCAAGTCCTTAATAGAACAAAGGGTTCTTCTGTTTAAAAAAACAAAAAAACCTTATAAATCAACGCGGTGCTGGTGTCATGCCAGGGCTGTAGGATCGTAAAATATCGTAAAACCATTCACTGACATTCCATGTGTCCCAAAACATCTCGCCCTCTGAATTCCCTTCCGTTCGTCTTCGTTAGACCCTCCGTGACTCCCTCCGTGCCCTTCCGTCCCCCCTTCCAACACCTCGGAACCGACGCGGCGGCCGCCGTTCCGGCGGTTCCGGTAGGTCTCCTTCTCCGATGGCCACGTGGGCCACTTCGTGGCGCCCAAGGTGCACACGGCGATGTGGCAGAAGGCGGAGCGGAACGCGGAACGCGGAACGCGGACCGTGCGCGGGTGGGTCGTGCGGCGGGTGGGTGGGTTGGAAGGGCCGAGCGGTTTGGGCGGGGGAGGATGGGTTTCGGAGAGCATTGAAAGTGTCGAACTGTGGGTGGGATGTGGAGAACGTGACCGGTGTGGGAGAATCGGTGCTTTTGGGACTCATTTGTTGGTGGATAGTGGTGTGTGTGTGTGCATAGAGATGTCATGGTTTTTTGGTGAGGCTATGAGGATGTGTCAGGTTTGAGCATGAAGGCTGTTTGCAAACTTCAATGGACAGACAGACAGACCGACCGACCGGCAGATAAATGAAAGGAAAGACAGGAGGAAAGAAAGAAAGAAAGAAAGAAAGAATAAGGAAGCAAAGACAGCAGAGATGCAATTGCTTTCACCCTCATGGCCACCTGGATCTCACGGGTGCAAACTCAGCAACCCCATGAGCCAACGCATTGCGCTAGTCATTGCGCCCGAGCCAACACCATCGGGGCAGGGTTCAAGGGGTCCAGACTTGACTGCAATTTGCCTTGCTCAGGAGCTCCATCAGACTCACCAAAAGCGCTATTGGGGCTGCTTGGCGCTATTGCTTTTGCGCGCTGTTTTGGGGTGTGGGGCGAAGCAACCGACACCCGAGGTTCTCAGAAACACATGAAGTTGGGGTCCGAATGCTTTTTAGGGGATTTAGGACTAAAGTGGCTGGTGGTTTTTTGTTGGGCTCCTGACCTCTGGTAGTGGTAGACGAACTTCTGGCTTCATTCGGATGATTCTGGGATCGCAGGACACAAGCGTGAGTGGTAGTGGATTAAACATGATTAAACTAATGAGAGTTTGCAGAGAAACTATAATATGTTGGTCGTGTCGTTGACGCTTCAAACATCATTTAAGTGCTGTGTTGCTGGCCACACCATTGGTGTTTAAAATCTCCCAGCTGGCTTTGAGCTGGGGCTTTGGGGAGATTTGGGCAAAACCCAGGTGCAGATATGTGCAGATGATCCTTGAGCATGGCCAAAGTGATTCACGTCATTTCGATGTGAAGGTGAGGAGATTGGTTGACTGTATTTTAAATATATATATATATATATTTATACCAACAGAACTCGACCTCTCATGGCCACACTGTCCACTTCCATTATTTTTCCCTGGAATGGGCAGCATTCTGTTCGTTGGAGACGCCTGTACGCTGATTGATGAGTTGTTTTAACATAATCCACCCCGATTCACTTCTGATAGGGTCCGTAAAACAGTCCTTTAGGTCTCCTGGTGGATGGAAACACAACTGACAAGACGATATCAAGTCACCATTGGCGATGTGTATTGCTTTGCAATGCCAGGGAACTTGCCTTCACTGGCGTTGATGAATGGTTGCGATTGCATGTGAACGATCCAAATCTTGCGTGCCAAGAAATCTTGGATAATCTCCTGGTTCCTTTCCCTGTTGGTCAATCCCCAAACCTGCCTCTTGGGACTTTAAGTGACCTTATAAGACCGGACCCGTAGGACCTGCGGCACCTATTTTGTGGGATAGTTGAACTAGGGTCCTTCCACCTCTGTTGGTTGGGGACGATGGTTTCCTGCTGCTTTGCTAGCTTCTTGTTACTAGTAGTAATGCCAGGAGCAACTAGTAGCGTCCTTGTTACTAGTAGCAATGCACCTTCCCTAGGCCTCCAAGTACCTTCGTTTCGAGGGGGGTTTGGAGGGTCCAGTCATACCTTCTGAGGAGGTACTTGGAGGCCTAGGGCCTAGGGCTTGTTATATACTATGTTTCAGTGTTTTTCTCCCAATTCGGAGCCTCAAGTCGATCCCTGCAATCCACCCACAACACCTCAAGGTCACGAGGAGGCTGCAGGCATCACGGAGGACATGGGTTTCAGCCCGTCGTCGGCCGGCCGGACACACGGTCCTGTTGGACGTGGACGAAGAAACAATAAGACTAACAAACATATCATGACAGTCTAAGGATTTGATCGCTTTGTTCTTGGTTCTTTTTGGTCAAGATGGATTTTGTTGGATGGAAGCGATTCTTGTGCATGTTTGGTGGATGGAAGGCTATTTTTGGGGATAGGTTTTTAAGGTTCCTTGAATTTCTGAACCCTGGAACAGGATTGGAAGGTCGGGCCGGAGGCGCCTCAGTCGAGTGAAGGTGAAGGCTGCACGAAAGAAGGAAAGGAAAAGGATGTGTCAGGCATGGATCCACTGGCAAGCTATTGGGCAAGTCCAAGTATTGAACCCCAAACTTGGAATGTAAGTATATATACATAATAGATTATAATAGCATGTATGTAATAGCTCATATTTAGAACTATTTAGCTATAAGTTTAGATATCATATTTAGGTTAATGCATCTCAATACAACTTATGAAAAGAAACACACCAAACACCTCGCTCTTGCTCGCCTTCCACTCCACTCCCGCTCCCCCCCCACTCCGCATCTCGAGGACCTCACGGGCGGACGCCTTCGCTTCGACTGGGCCGAGCTGCACGACGCCGGCGCCAAGCAGCGCTGGATCGAGGCCATGCACACCGACGGCGTGGCGCTGGTCACAGGCGCGTTGCGTCACTCCACGTCGGTCGACGTCGGGTCGACGTTGGGAAAAGACTCCGCAGGATCGGTGGAGTCTGCGAGTCGGAGGGGCGAGTCGGTGTAAGAAGGAGAGATGTGGGAGTTGGTGAGGTCAAGAAGCGTACTCCAGGATTCCAAGGATGTACTCCAATGGCTGCCATTCTGAAAACACGGAAGCAAGATGACTGATTTGGTGGCATTCCAACAGGACTTTTTGAGGGTCCTCTCTCACCCGCACGTGAAAAATGGGTTGTTTTGTGAATGCAGTTGAGCAGTTGGGTTCTACCAATCCGATCACAAGCACACCCGAAAACCACACCTGGTCTTCTAGGGCAGCTGAAGCCGCTCTTTGCATGGTAAGGCTTTCCACCCCATTGCCCGCTCTGAGAAGCGATTCATCACTTTTACCAAAATTTACCAAACCGTGAACCAAATCAGTTCAATGCTGCTATTGGACTGGAGAAGCTGGGCAATCGATGACACACCCCCTGGAATGCCCTGGAAAAACACGCCCCCTATCGTGCCAGGCGTTCCTCAACATCCTATGGGGGTCAAGGACGCCGTGATCCTCCGTGATCGATGTGCTTGATCTTTTTGGGCCTGTATGTGTGAACCCCCAAGTGTTGTGGTGACAAAGCTCAAATAACTTGGCTGCTGAAGAGACCCCTCAACATCATTCACATTCATTCACTAGTTGTGATGGGAAATCTGAAGCTCTTGGGGTCCAGAAGCTGACCGGGTGGGATTTTGTGGAAGCCGATGCTTTTCGGAATGGCCGTCCATGCCGATTGTTTGTTGGAGCCTTCATCCATCGATCTCCATCCTCCCATCCCAGTCGATCCTAAAGTATCCTAAACATCCTGGCTGCTGTGGAGTGGTTCATGCTGGTTCCAGGTCCAAATCCATTCTTGGGACATGATTCCCTTCAGTTTCAGTTTGTGTTCATTAACAAGGGTGCAACCCAATAGAACGATTTGAGATACCCATGGATCATCTCCGGGACATGGGGGTTCTATAGAGCCACCCATAGAAGCATCTCTAAAACTATGGCTTTGGGGTTTAAGTTAGAATCCTAGGATTGGTTCTTCAAAGGGATCTTTTGATATCCCAGTTGGAGGTCGCTTGGGCCTGCAAAAAGGTCACTTAGGGACTCCAAAAAGGTCAATTGGAAGAAGCTGATGAGTGAAATAATCATGTAGAACCTCATTGGATCCAAGGTCATGTTCCATGTTTCAAGAAAATACTATAAAACGGGTGGAGAGGCTCCCAGGCACACCACAATTCACCGTTAAAAGCAAGCATCGATATCGGCCGCAGGACTTTGCTGAGTTGCTGGGGACGTTCGTGCTGCCCAGCGTCTACGGTGAGACTTTTGAGATCAAAGCCAAGAATGACCCCAACAACTTGGCCTATTCCAACCTGGGGTGCCTGGGTCAATGGAATGAGCAATGATGAAAAATTTGATTTGCTCAATCAAGGGAAAAGGACAGAAGGTGAAGGGAAGAGCGAAAGGGACAGACTGGGAGGCGAGGAGGAGGAAGAATGAACGACCTCGTTCCAAGCGGTTTTGGTGGATGTTGAGCTTGTTTCCGCGGGGGCTTTGATATCTTTGATGGGAGATGGAGGGAGACTATAGTCGGTGTTGTGTCTAGTGTTTGCCCTGGGCCTTTTTTTCAATATCGTGTTTCTGTCCATCAGTCTAGAGCTCTTCCGTGGCAAGTTGTTCATACCAGCACCTTCAAAGGGGTCACCTGGCTGGAAGCCCCAGCCCACTACTATCCGGGACCTCCAGACAGGACATCCCTTGAAGGTCCAGTGACAGGTTCTTTTTCTGTCCAAAAGAGCTTGAGATGAGAGATGGGAGAGCTTGGGCTCGGCTTGAGGTCTGAAATGCTTACGTAGCAGCTCTTTTGTTCCCAGCTTCGGCTGAAACCTGACCAAATCTGGCTCTTGTTTGCACAAAAGCCCGAAGAAACTCATCCAGTGCCATTTGATGCCACCCAGGTTGGATCAAAACGCGCCCTTCTCCTGGTTTTGTTGAAGGGGAGGTGTGATTTTCCCTGAGAGTAAATCCCCTTCTGTGGATCTTCTTTGTACCCCGGCTTCCTGGGCAGCAAATCTCAGTTCTTCATCCTCCTCTCCGCGCTTCTTCCATCGCGCCATCGCGCCGGGACTTCAGGTTGCAGATGCACACGGACTTGCCCTTCAATGCGGTGCCACCCAGCGTTCAACTCTTCCATTGCTTGGAACAGGCGCCATGTTGACGCTGGATGGTTCTTGGATTCACCCGCTGATTCATGGGGTCTTTCAGGTGTTTCTGCCTTTGGGGGATGGGAAGCAAAGTGGATTTCGGTGGATCTGTCCACACCCCCGACCTGCTCGTTCGGTCCGGGTGCGGGTTCGGCCGGAGGAGGTGTCGTTCTTCCGCAGATCGGGGTGGATCCCCCGAAACCTGGAAACCACGAGCTATTCCAAGAGTCCCCTGTCGGGGTGCGTGTGGAATCCGATTCCAAGCCCCCCCCAACAACCTCCATGAAGCCCGACAGTCATGGAGGTCTGGCGGTTTGAACCCTGTTTTTAACCCTACAAACCTCCAAAGACTCAAGGTCCAAAGGGGTGATGTATGTCCTTTCTGCCACCTTTATATAGGTCATGTTTTGACACCTGCCTCTGGGCTTTCGACTGCCACATGCGCTTCTTAGGCCGTGTGCGTATTGAGCTAGTGCGCTTGGCTTCCCACATGGATACGAAGCAAAACTCCTTTTGTTCATACCAGCAGAGGTGGGTCAGAACCCGAACGTTCGATCTATCCTAGTTCGGTACCCCAGGTAGCTCGGGTCCGAACGTTCAGGTCACTTCCTACCTCTGCCAGGACCTTCCAAGAGGTGTCTATACACAGCCTCTTAGAGGTCAAGGAGTGCCCAAAAACCACCGGGCTTGGAAGGTCCTGGTGTAGGGTACGTTTTCTCCTTTTGACACCGCCACCGGGGCCGTCGACCGCTCGGCAGCTCGGTCGAGGCCGCCGAGGGCGGCGAGTCCATCGTCATGGACGGCTTCGCGGCCGCGGAGGCGTTGAAGGCCGAGGATCCGGAGGCGCGGTAAGCGGTTCCGGGGGGGGTGGTGAAGAGGGGAGCAGCCGAAAGTGGGAGGAATTCCAATGGTTTGTTGTTCAATCTACTCAGCAACTATATACTCCAATACTCAGAACTGGAGACATCTTTCAAGGGTGGAGAAGGGTGGGTGAACATGTTTTAAAGGTGCCACCCCCCAGATTTGGGCGAGCGGCTTTTGGAGGCGCCGAAGCACAGGGTTTTGGAAGGTGCTATCTCCCAAAGGAATCGAAGAACTGTGCAGAGATTGCACTTTTGTGTGGTGGCCACATGGTGAAGCAGTTTGGGGGTTGGCTGGGACCAACAAACCACAAAACGAGAACTGGTCAAGCTTTGATGGAGCCCTTGAAGGACCCAAAACGCTTGAAAAGGAAGTCTTGAACTTATTGACGTAGATGGCCAGTGGATGCCAGTATGTTTGTGGTGAGACTTTTTTTTCACAACGGTGGAGGCGTTCACATGTTTGTTGTTTCTTGCACATGTATACGACACGTCTAA